TTTTGCTTCCGAGAAACATGCAAAACGGGACGGAAAACATGAAATTTTGCAATAATCTTGCGCCACCCTTGCACAAAACGACGATCATTTTTCTAGTTTTATAGGTAACAGAAGACTGTATTTTTTCTACATAACCCCCCCCCCCCTGACTTTGAAGCTGGATCCGCCCCTGGCTTCAATTGAATGCGTTGTGATATCGTAATTTTCCAGCGCATAGATTTAAAAAAGTCAATTTATCCATTTCCAGAAACTACATACACAATCCCTATACAGACAAGAATCTGTCCCTGCTGTAAGGAGCCAAGGATTCGCGCCACCAAACATCTTATTAGGTGGATGTTGCCATAAAGCCAGTTTCACATTGCGTTACTGATAGACTAATAGATTTTGGGAAACCACCGACAAAATCTACTTAATTATTCCAAGCCCATGCTGTTGCGCCTTGCACATACTTCTAAGTTGAAACTGGCCATACTCTAACCAGTAAAGCACAATTATTTAAATTCAAGCTTTATATCCTACATATTTACCTGTGGTTGTTTTCATTTTTGCCTTTGTTTGTATAGATCTGATTTTATTAATTTATTGTCCTCCAATTTTGTATATAGTTGGCCAGGTTATTAACCTGATATCGTTTTATTTTTTTATATATTTAGATCTAAAACTGTTATCTATATTTTGTTAACTATACTTAAAAACTTTGTATTGAACTGTTAGACGAAATGCTTGGCACAAATATTAAATCTCTAATTGTTTTTCTATGCATAATCTAGGCTGGGGCTTGCCTTGAAAACATCAAATAAAATCGCTTTCACTTTCTCATTGATTATATTCTCTCAAGTAGCAAATTGGTTGTCAATATGTTTTCAACGGCAGCCTTGCAGAATCTCGGTGATTAAGGGTTTTCTCTTTATTTCGAAATGGTGTAAGTTGCAGTCGAAAATACTGAACTGAATTTTGCGACGAGCAAATAAAAAGTTAATAAAGAGATGCTGCAAGTTTACTATCCTAGTCTAGACCTAAAACAACACTTCAGCGGAAGACATGGATGCCACCATATCCACATCGAATTAATATCCTTAATCCCACACAAAACCACAGGAAAAGATCACAGAACAATAAATACAAAAAAAACGGAACATAATATCTGCCAAAATTTTCCATACATGTAACGAACAAACATAAATTAAGTAAAACGTTAACAAATTGGTTTACACATTAATTTGTCCAAAAGTCACATTTAGAAAGCACACAGTGAAAAATAATTCACAGCCATGCAAGAAAAAGTATGCGGGCCTCCAGTTACACACGTCTTAAATTCAAAGTTGAGAGTTGAGATCCCCACAATATCGTTTGACTTTTTTAATAAAAAGAAACCATTACTGCGGCACATTCACAATGTCAAACATTAAAAACTCGATCGCTTCCGTAAGAAACAAACCACACACAAGCCAGTCTTTTCAGTAGTTTTCAATTAAGATACTTTTACTTATCCTTTTAATCGACAAGTGCGTCTCAGCGGAGTACTTTTAGCTCTTCTCAAGGTCGCCCGCGCTGCAAAAATCGCATTACTTAGTAAAAAAAAAATGCCGTGACATGAACTCATGGACTTACTTTCTGTCCTTGACTGTTTCGATTTAGGTGAAGGCCTATGAATGATGCAGTTTTTTGACCCCCTTGACCGTCGTGTAGACCTTTTCTGTTGAACTGCCGTTGCTTCCAACTGAACACATCTTTGTTCGATCATGCGTTGATGTACCTTCATCATTTCCGAAGTGTAACCGTCTACAGGATCCACTTTGCTCAATCTGAAAACATCGAAATGCAACATTTTTGGCAGTACAGATGTGGGAAACCTACTCGTCGCCTCTAGAGCCGTATAGGGGCCGCTCTTCTTTGTCTGCCGCCTTGTTGAAAACGTCCCTCATCGCAGCCGTAGGATTCAAACGCTCCAAATCGAAGTCCTGGATACTGAATGGTCGTTCTTCTTCAGGAGTTTTGCGTACCGTTCCTTGCTTCATAATCAACTCCGGGTCTCTGATCAGAATTTTCGACCAGTTCATCATGCTATTTTTGGCTAATTTGTCTCTGATCTTTTTCCGCAGTTTGGGCCTGCGAATAACAATAAAATAGGGCAAACTCTTCGAAATCCCGCAACTACTTACCGTTTAAAGATAATATTTGAGCTTAGTGGCTTCAGGGGGTTGTAGCGCAGAAAACTTGGCCGTTTAAATTCAGTGTTGTTTTCCTTTTTGCAACTTTTGGTTTCTTTCGACTTGCACTCGCCCCAACCTTCCGTGTTAGTAAGATCTAATTTCGCATCGTTAGTGTAGCCATATTGTTTAATTGCCTTGGTGAACAACAGTCTGAAGAAATTGTAGTTGGGAGTGTCCTAAAGACAAAAAATTTTGTTGTTCGCGTTTTTTTGACGGAAATGTCTTGACAAAAGGTAATTATTAGTCACTTACCGTGCATTGCAATTCGCTTAGGCGATTCAACATTTTTAATAGAAAATTTGGAGTGTTTTGGAAGCAGATGTTCAAAAATGAGTTAATGTCTGCAAAGCACCCGTTTTTCTTCCGCTCGACCACCTCGGGCTCATTTATGTCGTCTATCCAGGGCAGCGAGCCTGAAACCGCAATTTTCGTCAATGTTACTTATAAAACTATTATTCAAAAGCTCTTTTACCTGTTAACCAATAAATCATATTGTATGCCAGCGACTCTAAGTCAGACCTTCTAGAGACAATTCCCTTATGTGCATCCCTGGAACAGAACAAAATTGTGCCGGCATGAGCACGCCGTTGGTCAGGAGACAATTCGCGATGTTCGCCATTGGACAGGCGAAATTTGGAGGCCAGCCCATAATCCAAAAGATACACTTGATGCCCTTGAAAAGGCTGAGTTTTACTAGAGACTTCTGGTTTTTCGTCGTTGCTTGAAATGTTTGCTCCCAGTGCCTCTACCAATCCGACAATATCCGGGATATCATCGATATACTTTGTAATAGTTAGCGGCCTCAAATAGCTAACTCGCCTGGGTTTACGAAGGTGTTTTTTATATTTCAACGGCGCAGCATATCGCTGCACTGGACACCTTCTTCTTGTTGACTTCCTATTTGTGGATGACCCTAACATAATATTTGATGCCTTTATATCCGAATGTATATAACCGTGGCCATGGATATACTCCAAAGTGTCCATCATTCGCATTGCTATCACCAGTACTGTTTTCAGATTGAACACTCTTTTTTCTCGAAAAATCGCCTCCAAATCTTGTTCGTATTTCGGCATAATCAGGAATCGATATTTCTCACCATTTGATAAATGCGACCCCGATGCCACATAGTGGGGCAGACCGAGGAAATCCATATTTTTGTCGGTTTTCCATTGTTCAACTAAAAAGAAAATGATTGATTGATTAGTGGAAATATAATAATACGTAAAAATTAAGTAAAAAAAGTAGACCTTGCCAAAAGATCAAATAAACAACTATAAAATCTAGTGTACTTGCACACCTTTGTAAGTGGACCCCCGAGTAAAAGAACCTTTATGTTTCATTTGCACTGAATTGCTCAAATGTATACCTGTTTAAAGATTTGAGAAAAAAAAGCCGAGAGTCGCAATTCGCAGTTCAATCAGCGGGTAATATGATGGATATGCAAGGGATCATTTACGATGAATGATTTTCCCCAATATCCTTCATCTATTTAAAATCACAAAATGCCGCGCTTCAAATTGTCTTTACTAAGAAAGAATTTACTGAAAATCTGTACTTTACGATCGGAAACAGTGGCAATGCTTCAAAAACCTTATGGCCTTTGAAATGTTGCTCCAAACTCACACCTTTGCTAAAAAACCAACTGCTGCGTGACAAATTAAGAACAGTTTCCCTGTTCCTTTTACAAATACTGAGATGAACAAAAAATTAACTCAGCAAGACAATAGATGGTAGTTTAGGCAACAGAGCTGCACTTAGAGATAATTGTACTCACTCATGCTGCACGTGCCCAGCCGTAGATAGCAATTGATTTCCACAAACAAGGGCCCACTGGAGTGTTTTTCGATCTTAGCAACATATTGGGACCCCGAAGAGTTCTCAGTAGCACCACACTGCACCACATCGTATATTTCCCCAAAGCCCCCAATTCCAATAACTTTGCCCAACTTCCATGTCCCCCCTGTATTGTCCACAATTTTCTCGCCCTTCTTTAACTCCCCATGGTTTGCACTTGCATGTTCGGGAACGGAACTCACTTTTCTAGGCATTATTCCCGCTTGCTTTTGTTGCTATGAACACGATCGATATGACCATATCAAAACAACGGCTTTCGAACGGTTGAAAAGTTGTGATATTCTCCAAGTGAATGTCATTGACACTTGCACTTAACAGTCACACTTGTTACAAGAATCAGCTGAATGTTCACAGTTGTTCTGAGTAGGTAAATTACTCAGAAACATGGAAAGTTCGGCTCAACAACACAAACTTAAAGGACATTTAAAGAATTAGAAACGGCCATATTTCTTCTTCTTCCACACATAAAGACTGTCTTCTTCTACCTACTGGCGCTGTTGAAGTGTAGACGGTTGAATGGGTCTGGGAGGATCTTGCAGGGTTGCCAGTGAAAGTACCAGATGGAAAAGTGTTCAGCTTTGGTGCCCCCCGCAAAGAATAACTGCCTAATAGATTCTGGAAGTGGCATTAATTGGCGAGATCCAGCTCAATTATATTTGAGGTTGCCTGAGGCTCCTTGCACACTCTCTGATTGTTGTGGCTTCAGGGAAAATTTTGATGCTGCTGGCAACAGCGCAGTGCGTGCCATGAGATTTAGGACAATTTGAGCAAGCGGCGCACCGCGGCCTTCTTGGGAATCTCCATCTTTTATTAATGATTAATTAAATTGGAATAATAAACGACAACAAAAGGACAAGTTTTCTGGCAACTTATTAGCTACTGATCCAAACGAAGGCAATTTAAGGCATTTGAAGTCTTGTTAATTTCCGCAAAATTCCTCTGTTCGGCCAGATTGATTTCATTGGCCGATTTCAAATAGGACATTTAATTTTCGTCGCATAGCAACGCTCACACACAACAATAAACAAAACAAACTTTTTGACCGGTGATTGATTGAAACCAGCATGAAATACGTGTGTAAAAGTGCCTGTTTTTGGAGGAAAAATCTTAATTAGTACTGAATATTAATTCACTTTAACTTTAACATGTCTTAAATGGCAGAAGTCCATATTATTGGCCAAATAACTGATTGCAAAGAGTTTCCAAAGCAGGAACTGTTTTGCAAGTGGTACATCCAGATTGGTAAGTGTTTTTAGATTTTTTCTATTTCATTATTAAGCGGGTGTTTTGTGTGCAAATTGGTTTAAGAAAATCACAGTCTTTATCGGCGACTCGCGTTTGATGATCTAAAACACGCATAATGGGGGTGCACCTTTTTAGAATATAGGCGGAGGTGAGGCTGCGCCTAAAAGTCATCTAAATTTTTTAAATTCGCAAAATATTAACATCCCTACCCGATTATTAAAGCGCCAAGTACAATGGCTTAGTAACTAAACAGCTGAAACCCCGATAAAATAAAAGAAGTGCACGTATTAAGTGTGCACCAAGTCCAGCTGATCAACAAGCTTCGCAGGAGCCGAGCTCTAAGCTGCAAAGCTCTAAAAATATCAGAAAATACCTAAATGCCTCAGAAATAGACGCGCTACCATCAACCCGAAAACGATGGCTAATTTTCAGCAGTTTTCAGCATTATTCGATTAAATCTGCTCTCTTATCCAAATGCCTTTTGAACATTTTAGTTTATTTTTGTGCGGTTTTTGTCCGATTGCAATCAATTTTTTCGAATGCTTGCTTCATCTGAATCTTACCAATGGTTCGCTATTACGTCAACTTATCCATTACCATATTTTTGTGTTTTTAATGCGCAAGCTAAAGAGATTTTCAATAATTGCAATTAATTTGAGGTAATAACTGGAAAGTCCTAGAGGGCAAACGGGAAGGCCAAACGCCAGTGGCTTCATCTCAATTTAGCGAAACGTGTAATTGGTCGTACCCGATTGACATCCATTTAGCGACTGCTGGAATTCAAGGTAAAAATCTTGTGGAAAAATACGTATATTTAGAAAACGGTGCCTTTGTTTCGTTTTCTATCAATTTCTTTGATGATTTGAAGTTTGAGCTGAAGGAAAATGTGCCTGATAGCTTCCACCACCTAAATGCCTATACCGAAGATCACGATTCAATTACCTTTCCAAACCCCTTGAGGCAAAAGATCCTACAAGTTTTAAATAATTCATCTGAAAACCTGATTTTTTTCAGCTTAGTAAATTTGGCAAAAATTAGTGAATAGATAGATCAAACCAAGGGCGGATCCAGGGGGGGGGTCCTGGGGGTCATGACCCCCCCATTCAA